ATGAATATAGTTATGATACTTATTATAATATCCAGCTAACAGAACAAGCCTCCGTTTACTAGTTCTCAATTCTTTAATTGTGTTCATAAAAACGAAAATTTGCATGAACATTCGCAGAATTCTAATAATTACGTATAATCTACGTAATATATGTATCTATTTATTATCATTATATTATTATTTTAACTGTATCCGTTTATTTATGGGTATAGATATTCAGAAACACATGGCACGTAGAAAATCAAACATTAACATAGATGATTCATCGGTTAGAATTACAGAAATTATATCAGATTATTTCAACCGATGATCTATCCAAAATAAAAGCTTCCGAAAACATTGGTACGATACAATCGGTACGATAAGGATGTTCAAAGTTTAAAAGTAAAGCCTTCTTAACCGACCAGTTTAAAAGGTATTTCCCGGAATGAATCAGCGACAGCCATAGGGATTCCTGATAGATAAACGTATGATGCAAAACAAATATTTGATATCGACCTTTAGGTGGTCGTTGAATAAGCTCGAATAAATCATTGATCTGCATCTTAAAGTAGGATTACTCATCTTCGATAAGTGAAAATAAAAGAAGCACTTCACAAAATAGCTGTAATTTCAATTATAGGTATTTCTGTATATACTATCACTCATAAGTGCTATAGGTTAAATAACAGATTAACGACTAAAAACGATATTGATTACCTTTTAAAGGAAAGCTAAAAAGATTGAATTTCTTATCTGATCTAATTATTTCAATATTACCTGTAGCACTTGTGTAACGATCTTTCTACAAAGGGATCTCTTTTATTTGATTTATAGCTTAGGAAACACAATTTTTTAAATAATCGAGTCCTCTTATAAAGCATGTCAGGTGCGTACAGTAATTCGCAATAGGAATGAAATAATAATTGAAAAATAATTTTTAAAAAACAATTTTATCGCATTACAATATATGCAAAATAATAACAAAGACTCGAATAATTGTAATTAAGGTATATACTAAAAGAATCAAAAATATAGCATCAGAATACGTTTGAGAATAGTCTGTATGCGACAGATGCAAGATATAGTGGCGCAGTTGTTTTAATTATACTATTACGCAATAAATTGTCGGTAATATTAGTGTTAAAAGAAAAAAAGATAGATATGCATAAACACTTTTTGCACTTACTGTACGTGGATCTAGCACGTGCAGACACTCGACCTCTATACACTATACGCGGCTCGATATTTCAAGTTGAAATTCCGACGAGTGCTATTTTCCGTTCCTGTTCCCAAAAGGTTAGACCTCTTCCTAAATTCCCTTTCTCAAAACTCTGACAAACGTATTAGGTTGTCCGAAAAGTTTCTTTTGTTTCATTGTGACGATAATAGATGAACAACAATTTCTCTTTTATATTATTTTATCGAATCAGGTATGATCTATTTCGTTATATTTCTATTATTATGTTCGTGCATAATTCAGTAAACTAATATAAAACAAAAAACATCTATTATTTATTTATAAGACGAAAGAAAATTTTCGGACAACCTAACGCGTGGCCATACACCTAACGATTTAATTATCAACACGATTAATTTTTGATTAATTGATGGTCTAACTGCTAGGTATATACCATTAGGTGGTACGTGTACTTAGGTGAAACTCGTTACGTGTAAAGTTGATGCATATTTCAAGGTGGCTATAAAAACACAATTTCCTTGATTATGTTTGCTTGAGTAGATACTTACCTAAGGTTTGATATAGGAATATTAAATTAGTAATTAAAAGCTAGCTTTTTGCTTTTATGGAAATTGGAAATTTCTTAAGTTTAGTCGGAAGGATCGCTCATATAAAATGAAATATTGCTTTTACGATTAATTATTATCTTTTATTACTACTGTGTCATGCCAATTATTAGGCTGTTACGTAATAAATGCTAGCCATTAGGTTTTTGTTTCCGTTATGTTAAGATTATGAAGAGTTCTACGACGTTAACGTTAATCTCGCATATAAAATAATGAATTTTTAAGGAAGTTCCAATTATACGGAACAAACTGTCTACAATCGAAGATGGGACTCGAACTATGTTGTTGCTAAACTTTCAACTGCAATTAGAGTGGAACTAAAGTGATAATACGAACACGCCTCCTAGATAACAGTAATTTTTTATTGAATCGATATCGATATCACTAGAAAGTTTCCTGGAAGGTATTCGAGATTAGCAATATCCTGTATGAAAGTAAACAAAAGGATGATTCACATCTCGTTATGAATGAATAAATTTGAATTCTCGTTTTTAACATATTTGTACATACATATTTATTCGGCATATAGAATTAACCAAGTTTATTTATGCTAAATAAGTGTTCGAATTCCATCTTCTCGAAGATGACGTTGTATAAAAACTTTTATTCCACGTTGTCGACCTACTTCTAGAAATCATCTTTTCCTGCGTATTATTTTACGATTGCTCTATATACAGGGTGGTTGGTAACTGGTGGTACAAGCGAAAAGGGGGTGATTCTACGCGAAAAAAGGAGTCAAAAATATACAATACAAATTTTTTGTTTGAGACTTTGTTTTCGAGAAAATCGACTTTAAATTTTCGCTCGGTACGCGTGCGGTACGTTATAACGGATCTCACTGTAGATCGTTGTCTCGATGGAAAAATTAAAAAAAAAAAAGAAAAAAACCTCTTTCTTTACGTGGGGAAATCTTCATCCACACCTTATCTCATCGCACGGAGCGGGACAAGGGTGTCGGATTTCTATCGGCTAAAAAAATCGGTCGGGCCTAAGTGTAGTAGTCCGCAACGAGTGAAACCGTTCTCCGGGGGTACTTCCCAAACACTCATAGAAAGCACAACAACATAGTAGGCAAGGGCGGTCGGGAAACCCACTTGCCCGTTGT